GACAACTGTACTATTATTAAATTACAATCACACTGTTGTCATTCCCTGTTGTCTCTATAAAATTGGATCTTCAGAGTAAAATTCGTTTTGTTAATATTTCCTGAATTAATTGCCAAGAAAGATAGAGAAAATATGAGATAATTTTAATCTAAATTGAGTTTTTTTTAATTATGTGTAAACTATAGTTGTTTGTATTTTTGTTGCGTTATGAAGGGGATCACATATGCCAAAAAATCAAAGTGATATAAGTGAAGACGTATTATAAACACTGCTATTTTTTTTTAAAAAATCTTAGAAATTATAAAATCTTAAAATCCTAAAAATTCTATTTTTGATACAGGTGTGTGTGGGGGGGTCAGGAACATTTTCATTTCATTTCATTTCATTTTTTAGTGAAGAAAAAATGCCACAGACACATAATGCAGTGAGAAAGAGGAAAGGGCACTGCCTCCAAGTGTTTTAAACATAGTTTATTCATTTGGAACAAGATCTCATTTTCTCTCAGATTCTTCCAGAACAATAGCAATTTCTGTTCTAAATAGGCTAATACAATTGCACACTGGTCTTTTAAAAACTGTATGGAAAATATTTGCCCCAAGCTAATATAAAATAACATTGTTTCCCTTTAAAAGGAAACCAAATTCTTCAAGCCTCTCTGCTTCCAAGTGACTTTCAATAAAGAGCACCATAGTTGCATATTTATTTTCTGCCAAGCTCAGTAATTTAGGGCATATCCTGATGCAACACAAAAAGTAGACTTGTAAATATAAATGAGATCTAGGATGTTCCCCTGGAAATCCACTGGATAAAAGTGAAACAATTCCAGAGTAAAAGTTTGGATTTTTATTTTAGTTTACGTTTCCTCAGTTACATTTAATCCAAATAAGAGCGATTAAGAAAGCCCAACTGTTTGCAAGCTTGAGCTACTAGTTTCCTGTATATGTTAAAACTAGCATTGACTACAGGAGTACTACAGATTTTCTTATCTCTTTTCTCTGAAGGATGCTCATTGAAACTTTTGCCTCAGTTATTGGCGCCAATAATGTTTTCAGTTGTTTGTGCTGCCATTTCATTTTATAGAGCATTATCTTATATGGAGAAGATTACTTGTTGGATATCCTATTCAATTTTAAGTGGGTTGTGCACCTTCAAGTTGTTTCTGACGTATGGCAACCCTAAAGCAAACCTATCACAGGTTTTTCTTTGCAAGTTTCTTCAGAGGAGGTTTACCATTGCCATTTCCTGAGGTTGAGAGAGTGTGACTTGACCAAGGTCACCCAGTGGGTTTTCATGGCTGAGCGGGGATTTGAACCCTCCTCATCAGAGTCATAGTCCAGTGCTCAAACCACTACGCTACGCTGGCTCTCATACTTTTTTAGCATAGTCTAATTATGTGTCAGTCTAGTTACAGTGGAACTGACATGTGTAACACATGGTAACACACACACAGGCATTGTACAAGCCTAGATCAACTCCTCATCTGCTTAATCAAATGTATGAGAAAGGGGCCTTATTGTGTGCTTGCAAAACAATTCACTGCACTAGTGGGCTTAACTTGCACAACCTCTGAGAAAGCACAACAACTTGCAGGCTGCTGTTTATGACTTTTATTTGCTTGTGTGGCATTCAAAATACTACTGTTTAATTTTGTATTTGTTCTGTAGATCAGAATATGGCTGCACATCCCTGCCGTTATGCAACACATAATACCATTTAGGACCTATGTTATAAGGTAAGTTTTGTAGATAACTTAGAACTGCTTTCTCAAAATGTGCTGATAGTTTCAAATCACTAAGATAGTGTGCTTAGCATGACAGTCAGCAAAAGCTAATAGTCAAACTGTATTTAATAATTTAATTGCTCTGATAGGAGTAGGATCGCAGTATCAGTATTAATAATTGTTTGATGTTTAGTTTCTAACCATGGATTTATTCAGAATAGTTTTTAATTCTCTCTGTGTATGTGTTTCTGTTCAATGCCATGGGTGCTGATGGTTCTTTGATTTTATAAAAATAAATAAAATGTCTACTCTGTATGTTTACACTAATAAAAATATTTATAAGATACTTTTAACATAGTGTCAGTTGGTACAGTGAACCATGCTTTTTCCTGCTGTAGTATTTAGGAAAATGTTGGCAATTGCTGAATGCTGTAACTTAAGACAGACAATTGTATGTATTGAAGCAGTGGAGACCCAATAGATAAAAATGCTGAAGTATTGATGGGGATCAGTCTTATAGAGACATGTTCAGATAAAATGGCTATACTGGAATATAGTCTATCTTCAAAAGAAGATTCAAAGTAGACGTAATTTTCTGCAAAGCCAAATTGTGGAGAAATTAGAATCTGTTCAGTAGCAAGTAAAACTCAAACTGTTTATGTATTGCTTCAGAAATAATCTCCTGTTTGTGTTCTTGATTGGCCTCAAACATTCATCCCTGAGGTATAAAATAGGAAAGTCTTGCTGAGAATGTAGAATTTAGATATTACAGTATATGAACATGATATTTGAGAATAAGTGTGGACTTGGTGATGTGTTGGTTTGAGAAGCTTTGATACAAATTTCCATTCAGCCAGAAAATGTATTGTATAACCCTGAATAATATAGCAATATGACCATTGAATTCAATATATTTTTAGGGGTGTGTGTGAATGTTCTTTGTATTGTATGGGATTGTGCTTTTAGATTGTAAGCCGCCTTGATAGCCTCGGCTAAAGGCGGGATATAAATAAATTATTATTATTATTATTATTATTATTATTATTATTATTATTATTATTTAGACAAGATGGTATAATTGCATGTATACAATCCTAAACATTTTCAGAGGGGACATACAACTATGATAACTAAACTTAAAAAAAATTGAAAGGGTTATCAGAAGTTTGTATTCACAACCATTCTTACTTAACCCAATCAAGTACTATTCTTAGTCTTCCTTAACCTCAAATATTCTGTTTGCTTTAAGAGACTGGGAGTAGGTGAGGCTCACACTTGTCCTCTCATCTCTTCTCTGCTCACCACAATTGTGGAACTGTATCAGGAAATCACATTTTTATTTTAATTATGGGATATCCTAGAGCAGAAGAGCTCTTGCAGGCAATGCCTGTTCCTAATGTTGCTTTATGTAGAGCAGGGGTAGGCAACCTAAGGCC